AAGGAGTTAGTTTAGTTGCTTAAACCGAACCTAACATAGATTATTGATGACATTTCACGAACTCGCGAGTGTGCTAGCTGGCACCATGTATCCAAGAAGAAGGGGCTAACGAATGTTTGAATTCAAAACATAATAATCCCTACTTCCAATCTCGTTTTTTGACTTAAAAACGATTTAATTTGTTGATTAAACACGAATAGATTGCGATTTGCCGGCGCTTGCTAATAGCCTGAAACTTAAACACCTGAGAATGTTTGTGAAGAAATTAATGAGAAAAAAATTACTGACTGAGCAATCACAATGGGCCTGTTGCATGCAAGAGATACAGCCGCGCGAATAGACTTTCAGTGGTTAAATGACACGAAAATTACGATGGTCACATTAAAAAAGTCTGAAATACACTCCTTACTGCGCAATTTGCGTTGTTAGGAACGCGCTTTTTCAAATTTCCCGCGTCTGGGGGCAGTTTTCTAATCACCGGAAACGAGCAAACGGCGGGCTCGGTGATTTCCGGAAGATGCCGAGTCGTTGTTGTTAATTTTTCCTTCAGTTTGTTTACAAACCCAACGTGATCTCCTATAGTGGTCCATATAAGCTTTATGCGGTAACCAAATCGATCAACTTTTAAATATCCAACGCAATCCTTCTACATTTCATTTCACGATGTCACGTGCTCCGCTTTTTAGGTTATGTTGTCAGTTTTAGTTGACCGGAAATAGCCGCGAGTTGCCGTTAATTGTTTCCGTTAGAAAACTGCCCCCAGACGCGGGAAATTTGAAAAAGCGCGTTCCTAACAACACAAATTGCGCAGTAAGGAGTGTATTTCAGACTTTTTTAATGTGACTATCGTAATTTTCGTGTCATTTAACCTCTAAAAAGTCTATTCGCACGGCTGTATCTCTTGCATGCAACAGGCCCATTACTAAAGCACTTTATCAATGGTGAAAGTGCAGAAGTACGATTCTCGGAAAACACGATTTTTCAGGAGAGGAAAAAAACTGTCTGCATTCCTCTTTATTGTTGGTAGAAGGGTAATAATTCTTGAGGATAGCAAGAATAAGATGTCTTTTCAAACTCCATTGACAGTTTCAATAATTTCTCGAACTGTTAGAAAATACGGCAGAAATGCCGAGATTCGCATTTTCGGCACTAAGAATCGACACTTCATCAGGAGATACGCATTTTTGCAATTAGTGTTTTAAACTTGTCGGTGAATTTGGATCATTTACAGACTGAAAAAAGGGTTTCACACTTAAAATTTCTTCATCAGATAAGATTTAGTTGGTCATCGATGCTCCATCCATCCATGCTTTAAGCTTTCCTAATGGACCAGTGGACCAAGTACCTTTTCTTCAATTTTGATTATTCGAAGCTAATCAACAAAAGCTAATTTTATCCGTACGAAACTTTTAAAATTCACAACCGCCTTTGAGTAAAATGCAATTTTGTAAACGGCGACACTTCAGTTCCACTTTAGGATACGATGACCAACCCAAAGGACTTAAAATACACAATCTGATCCAGCCACCTGAGCTCTCTTCATTGAAATAAGACGTAGAGACCATTAACAATCTTATTATTTTTTCAAAATAGTATTTCTTGGCATTTTTCGAATATGCGGCTCGAATTAAAACTCAAAATTATGAACATTCGGGTCAACATCATTATACAGGGCCACTCATGGTGCATACCGAAGAGCGCCTTCGAATCAATCCGTAAACTTAATGCAAAATTCTGATACCACTATTCGTGCGTCACGGCAGTCATTTTGCATAACCGCCCATTTGAAGGCGAATCATTGACTTGAGGCAACGGGATACGAATTCCAAAAATGTCATTCAAAATTCTTAGGAAATATCTAAGGAGCCAAAGCCGGGGGCCAGCCCCCTGACCCCTGAGGAGCCGAGGCCGGGGGCCAGCCCACTGACCCCTAAGGAGCCGAAGCCGGGGGCGAGCCCCCTGAACCCTAAGTTGCCGAGGTCGGGGGCCAGCCCCCTGAACCCTAAGTAGCCAAAGCCGGGGGCCAGCCCCCTGAACCCTAAGAACCAAAGCAGGGGGCCAGCCCCCCGAACTCTATGGAGCCAAAGCCGGGGGCCAGCCCCCTGAACCCTTAGGAGCCAAAGACGGGGGCCAGCCCCCTGAACCCTAAGGAGCCAACGCCGGGGGCCAGCCCCCTGAACCCTAAGTATCTAAAGCCGGGGGCGAGCCGCCTGAACCCTGGGGCTGCTCACCTGGCGCCTGGAAATCTGACCGACCGGCAACCACAATCAACGGGATTCGTCATTAACCCGAAATTTCACTTGACCGAAAATCGAAAATCTTAATTTCTACTCCACCGGAAATGTGCCCCAATTGAATACTCGACTTGACTGGAAATAGACCCGACCTGACATGCGTTCCAACCCAAAATTTGGTCGTTCTCGGATGGAGAATAAGTAATTTCAATACCAATTTAGCATTGATTTTCCTAAACAATCGCAATAATTCGATATAAGCGATTGATATATTGACTCGTTAACGTTAAAAATTGACTCTACGAGAAAATATACATAGGCGTTTATTAGTCATATTAGGTGCATTTAGTCATCCATGAATAAAAAATGATGACTTTCAATCTAAAAAAATCGTCGATTTTCCGTAAAGAATTTTAAAAAATCGATATAACCGATCGATATATCGACTCGTCAACATTAAATCTCGATTTTGCGTGTAAGAATACGTCGGAACTGGTGTGTATAACATGTGTAAGCAACGATAACAACCCCGGTGACACATCAATTCAACAGGAAAATAGCGAAGAAGAAGGCCGGAGTTTGACCCCTTTGCCCACCCGTAACTCAAAAACGGTTCCTTTACTCATCTTGAAATTTTTTCCTGAGTTTTCTGTTATTATAAGCTTCCACTTAAACTTTGGTTCGATGGTCGAATCGAACACCGAAAAAGGGGCGAAAATCAGCCTTTATTTTGGGAGGGTCTTTCATTTGAATCTTGACCTATTTTGAGTCAATACAATATATTGTTTATCAATTAACATTCGTTTATTTTTCACGCAACTAGGTAAATATGCAATTTGGTGCTTTTCATAGCAAATTTATTTTATATTTATTTAAATTTAAGTTATCGTCATTCCTCCAAACTTCGTAAGATGCATTTAACCATAAAGATACCTTGGTTTTATCCACTAAAACATCGTATTGCAAATCGACGGTGTAAATCCACAACCAAGTATCTCATTTGCGGTGTTTGAAAACCTCCGCTCCTATTTTAGTTTTTTAAATTAGAATAAATCGACATAATTCCTCGAAGTTTTCGCAAAGAGAAGAAATATCACGTCATTTTTTAAGAATTGCCGTTGAGTAGTTTTCCATTCAAATATAAAGTATGACAGGAAGTCTGCGATATCGTAAACCAAGATACGTGGTTGCAGACTTACAAACAAGACAACTCGAAATATGTTGGTTGCGTTCCTCACAGAGAATAAGTACAGGAAATTGTAAAACTTCGCAAACGTGGCATGTATTTTGTTAAGCTTTTAACATGAATATACAGTATTTCGTACTTTTAAATAAGTGAAACAACATATTTATATCAATACAAAAATTAAAGAAGAAAATTGGAGCTTTCGAAGAGATCGCACTAAACTAATGGGGTAAATGTAGCAAAATTTATAAAGTTTTAAGAAAAATAGAAAGTAAACTATGGGGCAGATCAAAAGAGTAAGGAGTGGAACAATGGTGAGGCATGATTGCGTGAATGATCAATTATCAATTATCGATCCTTTCCCATAGGTTTAAATGACAGATCAATCGATTTACTGAAAAACACGCCACGCCTTTGGATAGGTAGTATTCATCAGTTAAACTACTGAATACTCGTTGATTTCCAAAGAGGATATGTACAGATAAGTAATTTATTTGTATGGCTGATCATTTCTTTCAATGAGAAGATTATCAGCATGAAAGCTCATCACAGGATCAACTTCATCTCATGGCAGCATATGAGCCAGTTTCAATCAAGAACTTAGCTGTCTACTTTAAAGTTCTATTGGTCATCAGCTGTTCATATACAGGGATCATTTAAAAATGGACCTTGTTAAACAAAGAGGAACTAAGCCACATCATTCATTAACGAAATTTACCAGACGATTCATTTTTTTAACGGGAGAACGATAGTGTTTATCACTTTAAATTTTATAGGGATTTCCTCCATGTGATGTGAAACAATAACATAATTTTAAAATTTTCATAAGAATCTGTTCAACCGTTTAACTGCTGTTCGTTAACCCTTAGATGCCCAAGACTTGTTTGATACGCGAAGTCCTAAGTTGGTAACATACTGACGCTTCCTCACCCCCTTTCTATCATCCACCATTATAGTAGTTCTCTTAAAAGAGAAAGGCAGGTCAGTTAGTTCACTTTGCTTTTGCTTCCTAGAAGTAGTTGTAATTTAAAACTACCCTGACCCGATAAAACTTTCGCCAAAACACCAATTCTTAGACGTCCACACTTAGAGCGCTCAGTAGAACGCTCAAACGTACTATGAAAAAAATATAAATTTACATTGTTTAAATGGGAGAATTCGCAACTTTACCACGTAATATAAAAAAAAAAACCTGGGACATATTTTGAAAAACTGAATAGAGCAGGCTAATTTAGAGACAATTGCCCGTCGATAGCCGCAAAAATCATGAAAATTGGCCTGGTAGAACGCTGGAACTAAGCGTTACCAGTTACCCAAAATTAAGAGGTCTTGGAGCTTATAGTATAGATAGAGCAAAGGAAAAGACGCGCGTTGATAACGGCGCAGAGATACAACTATTCGTACTTGATGGATGTGCGTGTTGCGTCTGGAAAGTTGAAGGAGCTTTGGTACGAGGCGTGAACTCGCAATGCTCCGCTCTGTACTGCCAGTGAGGTGTCGCTCAAATTCGGAAGAATAATTTAAAAAACAAGGTCAAAATTTGTCGCTCCTATCGGCTATGTTGACTCTAAATTATTTTATTTTCCTTTCATTTGATATATGATTCTTTTTTTTAGGGTGTAGTTGTATAACTATTTCAAAAGCTCGTATTTACCGGCCCCGTACAACCGCGCCTGTTTTTAGCAAGCCTCGGGTCAATTTGACCCGACTCACAGTGGATCGAGTCAATCAGGGAGGTGGGACATTAAGTATTTGACTAAATCCGCAAATTTTGATGTTTTTTCGTCATATTTTAAATTTTAAAGGGTGCTTCGAGAAGAAAATTTCACGAGGAAACCAATGGAAACGCTTTCAGAGTCTCAAAGTTTTGTATGTACGGAGTTATAATCTTTTAAAGTTTCCACATTTTGTCCGACCTCTCCTATTGACCCGACCAGCGACTTGGGCATCCAAGGGTTGAGACAAATCATTTAAAAAATTGGAAAAATAGAACACAGCCATGTTGAAGCGCTTATGGAAATAACAGCTTCACATCCCATACACAAGGATCGAAAAGGGATGCCTCATTTGAGTGATTTCGACCAAGGCAAAACGGCCTCTGTTCAGACAATTTGCACTTCCTGTGTTTTTTGGCTGTAGAGGACCAAGCCCTGGTCCGGGCGTTGTCAAATGTAGACGTCCTTGCTTTGTGACTGATTGTGGGTTGTTGCCGTCATGTTTTGTCTCGTACCCCGCCTCTGCAATCGGTAGAACGAAGCTTTGAAGGCTCCGTGAACGTCCACGTTCGCGAAACAAAATAAGATGGAAACACAGAAACCCTGGAAACAGAAAATTCGCAACTTAAAATTTTCAAAAAACGAGGAAGAAATCCCTAAAATGGACTACATTTTGCAATTTGGAACTATAAATTCTAGCTCGGTTTTAAAACAACTTATGTTCCATTAGTTTCCCTATGCACATAAGTGTTTTTTTCCAGAAAAGCCAGAATTTATAGTTCCAAATTGCAAAATGCAGTCCGAATAGTCATAAAAGTAATGAAGAATACGAGAGCTTTGTATTGAAGGTGTAAAGTAAAAAAACTCCGAAAGCCATGTTTCAAGTAACCGCTCATCTCTCGTGTATTCAAAAGAAAACTTAAATCTACTATTTTTCTTGAAACTTCCTCTGACTACTCTAACTCATTTGAAAATATGCCAAGAATATTTCCAAAAACATTTAGGTCAAAGATTTTACTCGCAGTTAAAAAAAAAAAAAATAATCGGAGATTATATCAAAGGCTGCAACAAAGATACGAAATTCCCGTCTTTCGTCATCGATATTTTTTTCGCGTTGTTAAAGGGGGACCCTCGATCAATATAGTTCCGCGTATTGTTATTACCTCTACATCTTGTGAATTTTAGCCATTACGAGCATACTGGAAATTCCGAGGTGTTAGTCTCTGAATTAATTATTAAAACATATCAAGAAGAAAATCAACCCTTGAAGCCTGAACATTATGTTCACAATACTGTTTTTTGTAAACCACTGATATCGACCCATTCTCTATTCAAAACAGCTAGTAATTGACCTTGTTTCAAGCGCTTTAAAATAGTTTAGAGAAAAAATTTCCTTTTCAACTGATCTAGAGAATGACATTAATATTTTACCAAAATAGTCAATCGAATAGATAGTTTGAATTTATGATACTTCTATCGTGCTCAAAATGCATTGCAAGATGCCTTAGTATCTATACCTTAGGTTTCAATTAGAAAGTCTGTAAAAAGTATATCGACGGTGTAAGTTGGCTATCACATAACTCGGTTTGCGACGTCGCAGACTTCCTGTCATACGTTATTTTTTAAATGGAAAACTACTCAACGGTAATTCTTTAAAACTGCCGCGATTTTTCTTCTCAATGTGAAAAAAATTCTGCATAAACTTCAAGGAATGTTATCAATTTGTTCTCCCTTAAAAAAAAAAATTAGAGGCGGAGATTTTCAGACACCGCAAACGAGTTATGTGATTGCCGACTTACACCGTCGATATGTTCAGGTAAATAGGGCATTGAGCATCAGATTTCAGTTTATTTCAATTCCGGTTCCAGTGTTCTGTAGTATATACTAACTCCATAGATAATCCTAATTTATATTCCTTTGCTCAGGAATGTGATTGACTTCAAGGCTGATTGGTACTCAAAGGAGATATTTAACAGCACACCTTGCTCCGCAGATTCCAATAAGCTTTCAAACATTCCACGCTTTCCATTCACGGACGTGGGAGTTTTACAGCACTTCTGCCATGCTAAGGAAAAACGCCGTATGAGCCTTCAGGCGTTGCCATATTTCCTTCGATAACCAACGAATTTACATGGAAAATTCTAAATATTTTTCTTCCAATTTTTCTGAAAATTTTGCTCCCAATTTAATCTAAAATATCGGAAAATTTTGAGGCAAAATACGCACAACTTTCATCAAAAATACATGTTGTATTCGGGGAAATTTGGCAACTCTCGAATCTTCATACGGCGTTCTTCCTTAGCACGGCAGACTTGGAAACTAAATCTACACAAGATTTAATATGATGACTGAAGGCAAACGATAAAGGGACAAAGGTAGATTCTCAAAGCATTTTCGGATTCTCGGATCTTATTAGTTCATTCATGAATGTAAACGAGAAAAGAAATACGGTCCCTTTATAGAGAAAAGAAAGGCAGTGAGAGTAGCGATAGACAAATAAATTAAATTTTTGATGAAAGGATTACTCGTGGGGGAAATTCTTTCACTTCGAAGTACACACAGCGCCCTCCGGATCCGCTCTCACGAACTAGTGATTTCAGGTGTGGGTCGAGAGAGAGCGCTGCACGGTTATTCCAAAGTTTTGAAGCTGCACGATTTTCCCGTGACATGAGCTCCGTTACTCTCTGTTGAGGCTATATTCATAGTTGTTTCTCGTACAGCATTTTCCGAAGGAAGGCCTCACCGTGGTTAATATTATGACTGAGTAGCAATGTCTTCAGAAGATATAATGTGGCATTTAACGCAGCACCATGCGAATGGAAGCGCTTATGAACTTGATAATTCACGCACACGTATATTACCGAACAAAAGTGTGAGGTTGATTTAACATTCTGGTCGTGAAAAATTGTGCGAGAAGTTATAAAATGCTGATTTACCTACCACATCAGTAGTTTTACACCTTGAAATTGCTAGAATAACTGCTGTAGCGGGTAATTCAGAATTTTATATATCGACGGTGAAACTACCAAACCACGTATCTCGGTTTGCGACGTCGCAGACTTCCTGTCATACTTTATTTTTTAAATGAAAAACAACTTAACATCCAGTCTTGAAAATTTCTGTGATTTTTCCTCTTTGTGCGGAGAAAATTCCGTGAAAATTTCAAGGAATGATATTGATTTGGTCTACTTCAAAAAAATAAAATGTGAGCGTAGATTTTTAAACACCGCAAACGAGATACGTGGTTTGGTAGTTTCACCTTCGATATGTAAGTTCTTGCACACTTTCTTTACACCCAGAATGTTAAATAAACTCCACTTTCTTTTCGGTGTAGGTATTATCATCTAGAGTCCCTTTATACTGAGAGTCAAGACAATGTGAATCCATTTCTGACTGGTTCCCGTATTTTAGGCCTTCGCAGTGTCACGAACGGGAATAAAGATACATTTTCACCGATTGCAAAGATTATAATCTGAAATGGACCAGGGAATTACGGGTTCGGCAAGGAACAAACGGAATGAGAGAAGGAACGGAGAAAAGAGTTTGAGAATGGGCCGATCAAAGATTACGAAAAACGTTCAATTTCTGTAATCTTTATTCCCGTTTGTGACTCCATGAGGGGTGTTGTCTTGACTCTCAGTATAAAGGGACTCTACTATCATCCATAGAATTCTGGAATCTTTGACCTAGACAGGCGGGTAGCACTATGGTTGGGAATTTCATGGCTGGTGAACATGCGAATGAATTTATGTATATACCTCCACACGTAGTTTAGAGGCGTGTGGTTTTGTGGAAAGGCCTTTGAAATGCACGAATCACGCCTAGGGTAATACAAATGTCTCTAGCTTAGCTAAGGAGTTAATTTTGCCAACCTTGATCAAAGTTGGAGATATGCCTATTTGTTCCCCGCGCTTCCGTGTTCTAATTGTTCCGTGTGTGTGAGAATTCTAATTAAGATTCGAAATCAAAGAACGACGCCGGCCTGAAATGAGGCCGTTCGAAGAACGACCCTTTCACAGCAATCTCGAAGCAAAATACACTCGCAACCAAAAACTGGATGGAACCTTCACAAATATTCAAAATTCGGTTCTTGGTTACAGCGCGTCGATGAATGTTGAGTGGACAATGTATCTGTTGCACTTTGAGATTTTGGGGCTGAATAACATTGAAATCACTACAAGTCCATCAAAAAAAGTCTAAAATTCATTTCTTAACGCACAATCTGCGTAGTTCTCATTCAGGGACGATCTATTCAAGAGACCCCACTCTGATAACATCCCTGTAGTGCAAAATTTACTTTCAACGCTCAGTCAACGCTCAGATTTGCTTAATGATAACTGACGACCAAGGAGTTTATAAGCAGTGTTCGAAGCTCACCTTAGAATTTCAGGAGTCATGTGGCCCATCAAGCTCAATTTTAAGGGACCATTGAAGATTTTTTAGGGGCCAAACTGACTTTTTGCCTATTTATCACGGCTCATTTTGTGAAAAGTTAGAAGCAAAATGTTTCAGTTACAGAACTAGTAGCTGTAACTTGTAACTTTCAAAAAATTACCAAACAGAAAAATTAGGATTTTTTTTTTTTTAATTTGAGGGGGGCACTTTTTAGGGGCCACGTCGGCGCAGAGTCTTCATTTTTTAGGCGCATTTGGCGCGTTGGCGCCTGTGAGCTTCGAACACTATTGATAAGCGACTCACATCTTGCCCCTGTGTGCAACTATGGTTATAGGACATTTCGTCAACGATTTTTTGTCCGCGCACCTGTTTTTTCCAGTAATTTACGTCCAAGCGTTTTTTCGGCAAGGGAGTTTTGGTCCACGTGCCAGTTGAGACCCAAAGTTAATCGGCCGACATGTAAATACAAACGACAATTTCTCACGACGTTTTTGGATAAAAATGTATAATGTCTTGGAAAAATGAGGGTTTGCGTGTTTTTTTGTTTTGTCTGTTTGGTCCAACGGAGAATAATATATAGTTGAGAGTTTTGGTAACAATGAGGGAGCGTCAATTCCATGAGACAAAATTCACTAAAACTCTCTACACCTCTTTGGTGTAACAGGACTTAATTATCTTTCAAGATTTTCCCACCTCATTATACCTGAACCGGATGAACCTCTACAGTTGCCTCAGCTAAAGGCTCTTAGATTTTTCCTGTGTACGATAAGTATCTTGATTAATTTTCCGAGGAAAGATCCGTACTTTTAAAGAGTAAGTGATATTCTTAATACGTTCAATTTCGTAGAATACTGTGCAACACCTCTGTTGTGAAATAGTTGCCTCAGGCGCCGCCGCAAAGCGGGCGGCCGGCCGGCCCGAAACGCACATTGGCGCCTACAAACCTAAGTGGATACTTCAAGCATTGTGCAATGCGAGGAGTATCCACTTAGGTTTGTAGGCGCCAGTGAGCCTCTCGCGCTGGCAGCACGCCGCGCCGCTCCACTCTGTTAGGCTGCAATATTTATACTCGCATAGTCAGCGTTTTTTAACTCATGATTTTGAAATAATTGCACACTCTGCATTGATTATTCTCATTTAAACTGATGGGGAAAAAATATGTATCAATTTATCAAAGGAGAATAATAATATAATGTGTATTTTTTAAA